CAAGCGAGGAACGCCAAGGGCTGTACTTCGCTTGGAAGGGCTACGGTCTGATGTTACATATTTCCATTATCTTTTCATTGCCCACCCATCCAATTCCCACAACCCGGTAAGGAATCAGCAATATTTATTTGCGCAGGGCTGGATTGCAGCCCATGACATGGGTGGCAGACTGCAAAGGCTCTTGCCGCAGTGCATTTCTCAGTTTTCGAAGGGCCCCGTGAGACCGCTCTTGTTTTGGCTGCAGCCGAATTAAATAACGCAGCTGCAGCGCCTCTCCGGAAGTTGCCCTTTCGAATTTGGAAACAGGCCTGCATTTTTCCTGTTTGACTGAAGGGCGGTGGCAGAGGCTTTCTGCAAGCCGACCAGCGCTGTTTACGCGCTTGCACGACAGTTTGAACGACAAGCGACCATGTTCGGCCTTCCGTGTTTTGCAAAACACAACTCACCCAACTAGCGTGAACCTAGAAAAAAAGGCCTCGGGGTTTCTGTAGTGGCACCATGCTGTGGGCCACACACCCTTTTGGGACATCGTCCCCTGAGGTCAGATTGGCCCTGACTATATTGACCTTCTGGAAGGACCTGAAGACGTGGCTTTGTCATCTGGCCTGGGGATTGGGCAGTGGTGATGCGGAGTCTGCAGAATGACTATACCCTTAACGAGATTGATCATACACTCCTGCAGGTTATGTTTTGTACTGTTTTCATGGGTTTTTAAATGATTTTTTTTTTGTTTTTTTCTTCTTGTGTTTGCGAGCTACCCAGAGTCATGTATGTGAGATGGGCGGCTATGTAAATTAAACAAAAGGGGACATGTTTTGGGTCTGCTCTAAATTGGTAGTACTTTTAGCAATGTCTCAGTGTTACTGATACTTATCAGGCGAACTTTAAGACCGAAGTGAAACAGGATTTCTTGTAGATAGGCAGTTTGGTGATCTTCAGTGAATCCTATAAAGTAGGTGCTGTTCCAAAGGAGAGAGTGGAAGGCCGGTGGTCCCCTGGAGATCTTCCATTCTTGCACCTCCATGCTAAAAAAAGCTTTGATCGCTGAATTTCTTAAAAATTAGAATTGGAGCAGATTAACAAGAACAGTTCCAATTCTGGACATGATCATAAAGGCTTCAAGGCATGCTTCTGTTTGCCGTCCAGGGGTAGATAGCCTGAAACCCCCATACTGCACAAAGATACCTGCAAAACTGAAAACATTGAAAATCACAGGCAGGATTTCTGATAATTTTGAGGAAGGAAATACACAGAAATGAGCATAACCCCTAAACTGGACCTAGCCCTGCCAGCTGAACCATATTTTACTGAATTCATCCAGTTGCTTGGCTTCGCTCAGTGCGGCGAACTAGAAACAGAGCATTGGCACAATGCAGGCTGATGTTTATGACAAGCGTACCCAGAGTTAACTTATCCATGGTTTAAAGTAAAATTAACCCAGGTTGTGTGACATGCTGAATATAAGCTAGCCACATGGGCTGGTTCACACAAGATGCTAGACTGGCCAGTTTGTAGCTCAGTGTGTCCTCTGCAGCCCTGACCTGCCCAAATGTTACATGTGTAGGCACACACAGAGACAACATTGTTGCTTTTTCTCCAGAGGAGGCCATATGGATGCTCCTGAGCTGCTGCTTTGAATCCCTGCTAGCCGGCAGGCATGTCGCTGTGGGAAAAGGGTGGATGTGAGATCATATCGCAGCAGGCAGGCCAACCGGCGGGTGGGCGGCCTCAGCAGCTGGCTTTAATCCGAGGCAGCACACACCCAGAGTTAAAGCATGGAAAATCTATGGCGCCTGCTTGCCTTCCAAAGGAGATGGAAAACAGGCACCAGCTCACAGAACTTTGTTTCACGGCTCCTCTGGGGAATCACATCAGTTGTGAATGCAGCAGACTTGCATCGGGGAGTTGTTGAAAGAATGTTTCCTCCGCACTAAGGGTGTTCATCTCTAGGAGGAGTTCTAAGGAAAGGTGGAATTCTTACGTCTGAGTCCCCAAATCAGTGCTGTGAAAGGCAGGAGTGTTACTAGGCTTCAGGGAAGGCGAGGACAGCTCATACAACTGTGTTTTTATCAGCAATACTCTGGACTAGTGGCCTCCTAGTCTCAGAACTGAATGACTGGTTGGATTTACACATTGAGCAAAGCCTTAAAGTGATTTTGTTTGATTTTAGTTTAATTAATTAAATTAGATTTATATGGCCGCCCATCTCAAATACATGACTAATAATGTTAAAATGTACAGCTTATAAAATATTGCTTAAATGTAGTGGCTGAACCCTTCTACAGTATAAGATCCCTGAAGTCTTGAGAAGAACCTTGGAGTTTTGTGATCTCCAAGTTCCAATATATTTAATTATATACATATATATATATAAACAAGCAGTCATTTATGTCCCTTGCTTGTGAAAACAATCTTGAGAAAAGAGAATGCTGTAGTCATACATGGAAGATTCTTGGTCCAGGGGTGGAGATTACTGTGGGGTGCCAGATGTTGTCTCAGCAGCCCTAATCAACATTGAGCAATGGTAAGGGATGCTCAGAATTATAGCTCAACATCTGGGCAAGATATTCTCTCCCCAGAATTGGACTGGACAAAGTGGGGCTAAGCCTTTATTCCCTCATTTTATATACCAGCCAGAGCTAAGAATTTATCTTAGGCACACCTTCAGTGCACAGGTTATGTGTATCCTGCTTACTACACTTTGCTGAATAAACCACAGTTAGGTTGCATTTAGACCGTACTAAGCTACAAACCAGTTTATAAAGTCTTGGTGATGTGTAAGGGCAGCCAGTGTGTGGAGTGGATTTAGTCCACGTTGATGGACTAGATCAGTGTTTCTTAACTTCAACAACTTTAAGATGGGTGGACTTCAACTCCCAGAATTCCCCAGCCAGCATGGCTGGCT